GAGGAGTGGGGAATCAAACCCGGTTCTCCCAGATTAGAGTCCGCGCACTTAACCACGGCACCAAACTGGAAGGGTAGGAGATTGTAAACCACTGAGACTCCGAGTGAAGGACGAGGTATAAATCCAATCTCTCCTTCTTAATAGAGGCATTATGGGATGCCTATTTTCACCCACTAAGCCTCTGGGAAACAAGAAGGATATTTCCCCCCCCCCTTTCAGGGTTATTAGCAACCGAATTTTTCTTTCCGAATTAAAGTAGTGAGATGAGATTTCTCAGCCTGCTGCATAAAGGCACAATCTCCAAGGAAGAATTCAAGGGGAGTCAGAGGTAGGTAGTAGGCATTGGCCCAGGTCATTTCTGGCTCATGGAGCTGGTGGGAGACTCAATCAATCTTTTCTGATTCTTTCTGGGAGAATCTGGGGGTGGGTGGGGTGGACAACTGGGCCTGCCAACTCCGCGGATACCAGTCCATTTCCACAGTAAGAACATAAGAGATGCCAATGTTGGATCAGGCCAAAGGCCCATCCAGTCCAGCACTCTGTATCACACAGTGGCCAGAAATACCAGTGCCATCAGGAGGTCCACCAGTGGGGCCAGGACATTAGAAGCCATCCCACTGTTGACCCCCCCAAGCACCAAGATGACAGAGCATCACTTGCCCCAGAGTCCCTATCTATACCTTGTGGCTAATAGCCACTGATGGACCTCTGCTCCATATGCTTATCTAATTCCCTTTTGAAGCCGTCCATGCTTGTAGCTGCCACCACTTCCTGTGGCAGTGAATTCCAAGTGTTAATCACTTTTTGGGTGAAGAAGTACTTCCTTTTATCCGTTCTAACCCGACCACTCAGCAGTTTCATGGAGTGCCCACAAGTTCTTCTATTGTGAGAAAGGGAGAAAAGTACCTCTTTCTCTACCTGCTCTTTCCCATGCATAATCTTATAAACCTCAATCATGTCACCCCTCAGCCGTCGTTTCTCCAAACTAAAGAGCCCTAAGCACCTTAACCTTTCCTCATAGGGAAAGTGTTCCAACCCTTTTATCATTCGAGTTGCCCTTTTCTGCACTTTTTCCAAAGCTATAATATCCTTTTTAAGGTGTGGTGACCAGAATTGCACACAGTATTCCAGATGAGGTCGCACCATTGATTTATATAGCGGCATTATGATATTGGCTGATCTGTTTACAATACCCTTCCTAATAATCCCCAGCATAGCATTGGCCTTCTTTATTGCAGTCACACACTGTCTCGACATTTTCAGTGAGTTATCCACTACAACTCCAAGATCTCTCTCTTGCTCAGTCTCTGCCAGTTCAGACCCCATCAATGTGTATTTATATTTAGGATTTTTGGCTCCAATGTGCATCACCTTGCACTTGGCCACATTGAACCCCATTTGCCATGTTGACGCCCACTCGCCCATCTTTGACAGATCCCTTTGGAGTGCCTCACAATCCTCACTGGTTTTCACCACCCTGAACAACTTCGTATCATCCGCAAATTTAGCCACTTCACTGCTTACTCCCAACTCCAAATCATTAATGAACAAGTTAAAAAGCAGTGGACCAAGTACTGATCCCTGTGGTACCCCACTGCTTACCCCCCTCCACTGGGAGAACTGCCCATTTATACTCACTCTCTGTTTTCTATTAATTAGCCAGTTTTTGATCCATAAAAGGACTTGTCCTTTTATCCCATGATTTTTGAGCTTACTTAGGAGCCTTTGATGAGGAACTTTATCAAAAGCTTTCTGGAAGTCAAGGTAAACAATATCTATTGGATCCCCCTTGTCCACATGTTTGTTCACCCCCTCAAAGAACATTAACAGGTTAGTGAGACAAGATCTTCCCTTACAGAACCCATGTTGAGTCTGCCTCAATAGGTTTTGTTCATCTATGTGCCTACTAATTCTTTCCTTAATAATGGTTTCCACCAATTTACCCGGTATCGACGTCAGACTGACTGGCCTGTAATTTCCCGGATCTCCTCTGGAACCCTTTTTAAAGATGGGAGTGACATTAGCTACCTTCCAGTCCTCAGGAATGGAGGCTGATTTTAAGGAAAGATTACATATTTTTGTCAGGAGATCCACAAGTTCACATTTGAGTTCTTTCAGAACTCTCGGATGTATGCCATCTGGGCCTGGTGATTTGTCTATCAGTTTTTGGACCTCCTCTTTCGTCACTTCAATCTGACTCAGGTCTTTCAACACCCCTCCTGAACTCAGCGGCTCTGGAGTGGGCAAGCACCTCTCATCTTCCACAGTGAAGACGGAGGCAAAAAATGCATTTAGCTTCTCAGCCATTTCCCTATCATCCTTCAGTACTCCTTTTACCCGTTGGTCATCCAAGGGCCCCACTGCCTCCCTGGCTGGTTTCCTGCTTCTAATGTATTTGAAGAAAGTTTTATTGTTGGTCTTTACGTTTTTTGCTATATGCTCCTCATATTTCCTTTTTGCCTGCCTGACTACAGACTTGCATTTTATTTGCCATAGCCTGTGTTCTGTTTTATCAGCCTCACTGTGACTAGCTTTCCACCGCTTAAAGGAAGCTTTTTTACCTTTTACAGTACTGGATTATACTGGGGGCTCTGACCCCTGAGAATTTACTGAGTTGTTGGGTTGGGGGGCACAAGTTTTCCCTTTCAACCCAAATAACTCCTATTGCCAAAGCTCTTTGAGAAACACCATTTTGTGGATGTGGTTTAACTTTCCGTGGGCTGAATGGGACGAGACGGTCAAACTTTAGATAGGCCTTGGCCTAATCTATTCCTCATTCCTCCCCCCCTCCTGTCTCCAACTAGTAATCTGAGAAAGGACAGGAAATCCATCAAGGCTATGAGGCGATCTGCCCCAGAAGGCTGCAGGAGGGAGAGCCAGTTCCTGACCGGGAACTGCTGTTTTACAGGGCTCTTTTTGTAGAAAAAGCCCAGCAGGAACTTACTAGCATAATAGGCCACACCCAACAGCAGAAACTTATTAGCATATTAGGCCACAACCCTGACAGCACAGCTCATTAGCACATTAGGCCGCACCCCCATGTTACCAGAAGTGTGGCCATCCAGCCACACCCACCTTTTGCTTGTTATTCTGTTTACCTTGTTTGTTGTCAAAACCCAGGGCTTTTTTTGTAGCAGGAACTCTTTTGCATGTTAGGCCACACACCTCTAATGTAACCAATCCTAATGAGTTTCTGCTGTTGGGTGTGGCCTATTATGCTAATGAGTTCCTGCTGGGTGTGGCCAACTCAGGAGCCAGCCGGAATTCCGTTCCTGTGTGTTCCTGCCCAAAAATAGCCCTGGCTATTTATATTATTGAGTTTGGGGTGGGACTCCTGCCAACCTAGCAGTTCGAAAGCAAGAAATTGCAAGTAGATAAATAGGTACCACTTCGATGGGAAGGTAACAGCGTTCCGTGCGCCTTGGTGTTCAGTCATGCCGGCCACATGACCACGGAAACGTCTTCGGACAGCACTGGCTCATCAGCTTGGAAACGGAGATGAGCAATGCAACCGTAGAGTCGGACTCGACTGGCTTTCGAGCAAGGGAACCTTTACTTTTACCTTGGGGTGGGAAGCCGGTCGGAGACAGAGGCCATTTTGGGAGACATGTTTGTCCAGCTTCGTCCAGAGTAACAAAGTAATGTACCTGCCCTGCATCCCACCTAGATAGGGCATGAGTTTAGAGGAGGGCGAGAGAGGGAATGTTTTTTTGTCAACTTTATTTTGTTTCTCCCATCCACTTTTGATTTACCTGTAAATAGTTGAGAGCTTTTAAATAAACCCTTTAACTGTTGAAGGAGCAAAGTACCACATAGTTCCCCCAGCCACTTGGAAAACCTAGGAGTTGGGTGGGGAACCCCTAGGGAGAAAAGTTGAAAAAAGACCAGTTGCCAACTGTTATGTACTGTCTGGATATCATGAATCAGCTAATCCACCTCCTATGTTAAGCTTCGAGCCAGCCAAGGCTCCATCTAGCCCAAAGGCTATTGGTCGCTTCGAAACAGCGACCAATCACAAAGGAACTGTTCCCTGAGCGGGAAGAACTCTGATTCGCCTTTATCCCTGCAATCTAAGTGGTTGTTATTGTACATAGTAGGAGTGGCTATATTAGCCCGGTATGTTTAAAAGGAGCCCAGCTCCAGTGTTGTTCTGTTCTGGTTTCTCATGCGTTTGAGTGCTTGTTCGTTACTTCTGATTAAAGCTGAATCACTGCTGAAATCACTCCACGAGTCCTTTGTTAGCTCGATCTAACACCAACTCTCCAGGGGATCCACAAAGACCCCTGGGAAGCCCCAAGGCAGGCTCTTAGGGACACCAAAGGGAGGTTAGGAGGCTGTCCCGCCTAACCAGAGCCCAAGACAGGGACAGTGGTGGCAACAGTACCCGGAGGCACTGGAGTGGAGTGAAACAGCCCCTTCAGGTGCCAGGTCTGGCAGAGCGGGGCCCACCAGCCTGTTCCGCCACACATCCCAAAAACATTTATGTTTTGCTGCTGCATCGTCCCTGCTTTGCCAGACTCTCTCAATCACTCAGGAGAGATAGATCAGGAAGATTCTATTCCCTGCACTGGCTGAGGCTCCTCCCCCTCCCAGGGAGAGGGAGGGAGCAAGCCAGAGCTTGCTTCTTGGCCAGGCTGCCTCAATCACACAGGAAACAAAGGCAAGCCTTTCTTCCCCTCCACTGGCTGAGGCTCCTCCCTGAAGGGAGGGATGGTGGGAGGGAGGGCGAGCTTGCTTTTCTTGTCTGCCTCAGTCACACAGGAGAGATACAAAGCACCTCTAAGACCAACAAAGCTTTATTCAAGTTATGACCTTTTGTGTGCCTTTCTACAGTGTGTGTGTTGTTGGGATCATTATGCTAGGGCTGTGCTGGGTCTGGCCGGTCGCCATAGATACCCTTCACTTAAAGCTGTATACGCAGTCCAAAAGCAAGCTGAGAAACAGAAAGCCAGGAAATCAGCCAGAGTTTTCAGGAGCAAGGAGTAGAGGCTGACAGCTGGGACTAGGCCTTAGAATGCATGGTTGCTTCCGCTCCGAGTCAATCTGCAAAGACTCACAGCCCCTCACGTTTCCTTTGCAACAGCTGAAGTCTGGCACTCCTTCTCCTCTCTTGCATTCAGACGCTGGCGTGCCCTGCGTCTGGGACAATCAGGTGAGCTAGGTGGGGATTTTGGCCTCAGGGTGTCTCCAACTGGGGGATCAGTCTCTCCCTCTGACTGCACCTCAGTCTCTTTGCCTTGCTGTTCCTCCTTGCAGATACTGGGCTCTCTTCTCCCTCAGGTGCTGGTAAAGGTTCCTCTTCTGGGTTGACTCCAGAGGAGACTGGGTTGCCCCATGCCTCTTCCTCATCTGAGGACTAGTCAGCCTCCGCAGAACCAGGACCCATGACAGGGGCTCTCCTGGGTGTAACTGGGTTCTCCTCCTCTTTTTCACTATATTCATACCCTTTTGATCCAGTCTTTCTCAGTAGGAAAGCAATGTGCACTATTTAGATTAGGAATAACAACAAGCCAGTGAGGTTGATTAGGCTGAGTGTGTATGTCCACACCAAGTTCACCCAGCACATTTCCTTTGTAGACTGGGGATTTTGAACCAAGACTTCCCAGATAGTCGGCTAATACTTCCTGTCTCTCTATTCTTGCACTGTCTCATAGGAGTTGTAATTATTTTTCTGGGGAAGACTATAGTTCTGTAAACAAAAACACAGCCCTCAGCCTCTGTCAGGATGCATTTTCATGTTCTTGATCAGCACATGAAGCAACTTATGTACAAATGCTCGCAACACCCAGTAATGTCATGTTGTTTTTTTCCTTGGTCCTAGGCTCAGAACATTGACCATGAGATTTCTGTAATGAATGTCAGTAAATCAAAAACAGGTTTGCAGCTTACAGATACACACTTGAACAGCATACTTGATTGCTACAGCACAGACATTTTGATGCAATACTTCAGAGCAAGAGGTGTCAGTTATCCGATACTGTTAAATAAACAAAATATTGCAAGAGTGCTAATGTTTTAAGCATGTTTTAAAGTAACAAAAAGCTTTGATTGTGATTGTGTCCTTTATAAAGTTTATATCTCCACTACCTGGCATTACATTTTATGACACACGTGGCCCAGCCCAACAAGGTCTCCTTTATGTCAGTAAGGAGTTATATAGTTTCTCCTTGTGTGGGTTCTTAGATGCTGTTGAAGATTTCCATGCTGAGTGAAACTCCATACTCTGAGCATACAAAAGGGTTTTCCTCTGTGTAGGTTTTTTATCGCCATTGAAGACTGCTACTGTTCCTCAATCTCTTTCCACACTCTGAGAACCCAAAATGTTTCACCCATGTGGGTTCTTAGGTCCTGTTCAAGACAGCAACTCAAGCTAATTCTCTTTAAACACTCTGAGCATTCAAAAGTTTTTTCCCTATGTGGGTTCCTTGATGCTGTTGAACACTGCCACTATTATTGAATCTCTTTCTACACTCTGAATATTCCAAACATTCTCTGCTGTGTGGCTTCTCTGATGGCCACTCCAACTGAATTTCCTTCCACACTCTGAACATTCAAAAGGCTTCTCTCCTGCGAGGGTTCTCTCATGCCCTTGAAGATGACCACTCTGACTGAATCTCTTTCCACACTCTGGGCATTCAAAAGGTGTCTCCCCTGTGTGGGTTCTCTGATGCTGTTGAAGATGACCACTCCGCCTGAATCTCTTCCCACACTCTGAGCATTCAAAAGGTTTCTCTCCTGTGTGGGTTCTCTGATGCTGTTGAAGATGACCACTCCGCCTGAATCTCTTCCCACACTCTGAGCATTCAAAAGGTTTCTCTCCTGTGTGGGTTCTCTGATGCTGTTGAAGATGACCACTCCGCCTGAATCTCTTCCCACACTCTGAGCATTCAAAAGGTTTCTCTCCTGTGTGGGTTCTCTGATGCTGTTGAAGATGACCACTCCGCCTGAATCTCTTCCCACACTCTGAGCATTCAAAAGGTTTCTCTCCTGTGTGGGTTCTCTGATGCTGTTGAAGATGACCACTCCGCCTGAATCTCTTCCCACACTCTGAGCATTCAAAAGGTTTCTCTCCTGTGTGGGTTCTCTGATGCTGTTGAAGATGACCACTCCGCCTGAATCTCTTCCCACACTCTGAGCATTCAAAAGGTTTCTCTCCTGTGTGGGTTCTCTGATGCTGTTGAAGATGACCACTCCGCCTGAATCTCTTCCCACACTCTGAGCATTCAAAAGGTTTCTCTCCTGTGTGGGTTCTCTGATGCTGTTGAAGATGACCACTCCGCCTGAATCTCTTCCCACACTCTGAGCATTCAAAAGGTTTCTCTCCTGTGTGGGTTCTCTGATGCTGTTGAAGATGACCACTCCGCCTGAATCTCTTCCCACACTCTGAGCATTCAAAAGGTTTCTCTCCTGTGTGGGTTCTCTGATGCTGTTGAAGATGACCACTCCGCCTGAATCTCTTCCCACACTCTGAGCATTCAAAAGGTTTCTCTCCTGTGTGGGTTCTCTGATGCTGTTGAAGATGACCACTCCGCCTGAATCTCTTCCCACACTCTGAGCATTCAAAAGGTTTCTCTCCTGTGTGGGTTCTCTGATGCTGTTGAAGATGACCACTCCGCCTGAATCTCTTCCCACACTCTGAGCATTCAAAAGGTTTCTCTCCTGTGTGGGTTCTCTGATGCTGTTGAAGATGACCACTCCGCCTGAATCTCTTCCCACACTCTGAGCATTCAAAAGGTTTCTCTCCTGTGTGGGTTCTCTGATGCTGTTGAAGATGACCACTCCGCCTGAATCTCTTCCCACACTCTGAGCATTCAAAAGGTTTCTCTCCTGTGTGGGTTCTCTGATGCTGTTGAAGATGACCACTCCGCCTGAATCTCTTCCCACACTCTGAGCATTCAAAAGGTTTCTCTCCTGTGTGGGTTCTCTGATGCTGTTGAAGATGACCACTCCGCCTGAATCTCTTCCCACACTCTGAGCATTCAAAAGGTTTCTCTCCTGTGTGGGTTCTCTGATGCTGTTGAAGATGACCACTCCGCCTGAATCTCTTCCCACACTCTGAGCATTCAAAAGGTTTCTCACCTCTATGTATTCTTTGGTGCACAGAGAGCTGTGATCTATTTCTGAAGTACTTTCCACATTGAATTGATTTACTTGCCTTCATTAGCCTATGCTTTGGAAAATGTACACTACGCTTACTTCCATCTGTCTTCTCAAGCATACGGCTGCCCTTCTTTCTCTTAGGTCTACCTCGATTCCTGACATTTTCTTTCAAGTCTTCATTTTGAACCCTGTCTGGCCTTTCCTGGTGAAGTTCCTCACCCTCCTCATTCCTCTGATCATCCGCTGCTGGATTAAAGAGAGATATCCCATTAGCACCTGGGAAAGCTGGTAAGGTCCAAAGGCATATTACGTGACTGCAGGAGGAAAGGATTGATGGCCCTTTGGCCTCATCGAGCTTGGCTGATTTTAACCACCCCTCCACCTTTCCCCAGAACATCTAATATTTAAGGATATCTCACCCCCTCAAGTGCCACAGCTGAGCTCTTGCCCAGAAGGAGTTTCTGAGACTCCAGATTTCACAACCCCAGAAGGCCTCCCTCCCTCCTTATCCAGCGGGCTGTATGACTGTACCAAACCAAATGTTGCTCAGAAGTAAATCAGAAATCCCCCCTGGCCATTCCTTGCCTGTTCCCTTGACATAACCGTGGAGGATACTCACTCTCAGCCAACTCATTTGGGAAGGAAATATGGTCCTGGGATCCTCTTGAGGAACTCTCCAGCCTTTCTTTGGATGCAAGGCTGTTATCTGTCTGCACCATAGTCTCTCGTATGTTTCTGGCTTCTTTCACCGGGGGGTGGGGGGAGAGAGAGAGAGAATGTGATCATTCTTATATGGTGAAGGAAAGAAATTGAAGAGTAAAAATTATTCTGGGAAGACAGAACCATGGTCAAGAAAGATCAAAGATGAAAATAATATTATTATCACCAGTATTACCAGTATAAAGGGAATGGATCTGTGAGGCAAAGCACCCTGGTTCCCCCTAGGGGTTAAGGTGATTATTAAATGGTCTGGTCTGACTTGCAGGTGTTCATGATTTGAGTCTCCCTTCAGCTAACATCCTTATCTTTTTGAAGGCCAGACTCCAGACTACGGTTATTGGTCAATCGTGAGAACCTGTATCCAGTTGTGTAAACAGGAGGGAGGGGGATTAGGAGGGTGCTGGAAGCCTCTGGAAAGTTCCGTCAAGCAGGACCCTTGATTGGGTCATTCGGACCACCTGACCCTAGAGAAGCAGAAAGTATAATACGGATACAGACCAGAGGGAAGCTAGGCTAACTTTATGCTCATGCCAAGCTAGTACGCCTTGACATTGTCAGGCGTCTTTCTTGCTTATGTAGAGTAACTGAGGCTACAGCTGGAATATTTATGCTGCAAGGAGAGGTGCCATCGAATACAAAGTATTTAATGCAGTAAAAAATAAAAGTTAGCTTTTCTTGCTGTTCTGTTGCTGAACTGTAGAAACTGTGCTGTTTGGTGATGTCTCCTTTTTAAGTGCTTAATACATCTCTCTCTATATATTTAAACTGGGTCTGCTTGACCTGTGTGCACTCTCCTCGTGAACCCACTGAACTTGGTGCTGCTGTCCAGTACAAAGAGGAGTGACCCAGGCGGACCCAGGCTTCGGTTCTTGACAGGGTCACTTCCAGAGCGGATGTTTCTAATCCCATCCAGGGGGAAGAGTGTGTTGTAAAGGTTGGCAGCAGAGAAATCGGGATCCGGCCCCTTCCAGAGTCTCTCTGAGGGCCTCTCATCCCTTTTCCCTCAGGACCCCCTGGGCAAGTACAGATACATGAACGACACAGAAAGATGACTTATACTGAATTTGAAACTTAAGAACGTAAGAACATAAGAGACGCCCATGATGGATCAGGCCAAAGGCCCCTCCAGTCCAACACTCTGTATCACACAGTGGCCAGAAATACCAGGTGCCATCAGGAGGTCCACCAGTGGGACCAGGACATTAGAAGCCGTCCCACTGTTGACCCCCCAAATCTCCAAGATGACAGAGCATCACTTGCTCCAGAGCCCCTATCTACACCTTGTGGCTAATAGCCACTGATGGACCTCTGCTCCATATGCTTATCTAATTCCCTTTTGAAGCCCTCCATGCTTGTAGCCGCCGCCACTTCCTGTGGCAGTGAATTCCATGTGTTAATCACTCTTTGGGTGAAGAAGGACTTCCTTTTATCCGTTCTAACCCGACCGCTCAGCAATTTCATGGAGTGCCCACGAGTTCTTGTATTGTGAGAAAGGGAGAAAAGTACCTCTTTCTCTACCTGCTCTATCCCATGGATAATCTTATAAACCTCAATCATGTCTCCCCTCAGTCGTCGTTTCTCCAAGCTAAAGAGCCCTAAGCGCTTTAACCTTTCCTCATAGGGAAAGTGTTCCAACCCTTTTATCATTCGAGTTGCCCTTTTCTGCACTTTTTCCAAAGCTATAATATCCTTTTTAAGGTGTGGTGACCAGAACTGCACGCAGTATTCCAAATGAGGTCGCACCATTGATTTATATAGGGGCATTATGATATTGGCTGATCTGTTTTCAATACCCTTCCTAATAATCCCCAGCATAGCATTGGCCTTCTTTATTGCAGTCACACACTGTCTCGACATTTTCAGTGAGTTATCTACTACGACTCCAAGATCTCTCTCTTGGTCAGTCTCCTTTGAAGTCAGTATCTTCTACTCAGTCTGTGAGGGTGTCAGGCAGAGTTCTTTCCCATCACCTCCTACCCGATCCTTTTCACTGGAGATGCTGCCAGGGTTTGAACCGGGGACCTTCTGCACGCCAAGCAGATGCTCTGCCAGTGAGGCACAGCCTCTTCCGAAGTAGCGGGACAGGCCTCAAAATGGTGTGTTGCTATTAGGGTTACCAAGTACCTACCGCGAATCGGCAGGGGACACATAGTTCTTGGCGGGAACATTCCCCCGCGGAAAACACATGCGCTGCACTATGCTGTCGCCCAGACGTGATGTAGGCACGTAGTTGGGTGACGTTCTGGCAATGGGGCTGGAAACTCGATGGTACCATCGAGTTTTCAGCCCCTTTGCCAGAGCATCGCCCGGCTGAATGCCCAGCATGCTGACGTCACGTCTGGGCGACAGCGTAGTACAAAGCGGGAGCATTACAGGCAGGAATGTTCCGGCGGAAAAGCATGTGTCCCCCGCCGATTCGCGGTAGGTACTTGGTAACCCTAGTTGCTATTCAGTATTTTGATTCACGCCTCCTCACAATGGCAGCAATTCGCACTTTTGGCACCTATGAAAGAATCCTTACCCAGAAAGGCCACGTTCCCACAGTTCTCCCGCATGACTTCCCGGTACATAGCTCTTTGTCCCGGATCCAGCAGGGCCCACTCTGCCACGGTGAAATACACGGCCACCTCTGCAAAGGAAAAGGGACCCTGGAAGAAGAAGCATATTCCCTCGTCAAGAGATTATGCCAGGCAGAGACGGCACACGGGAAGGGAGTAGTCTAGAAAAGTACAGGATTTAAGGCTTTGGATGGGTAAAGGGAACGGCGTTCAGAGGATCTCTCGCCCAGACACCTTGTAGAAACCGCAGGAGCAAAAGCCCCCCCCCCGAGAAAGGGGGGGGGGCCCAGGGTGCCCCCCCCCCCCGTCCTCATCTCCCCTACCTGGACTGGAGGGGCAGCAGCCGTTTCCACACCTCTGAGAAGACGACAGCTCAACGGCATCTCTTCACTGCCTGTTCCTGAGACAAAGGAGGAAGGAAGGTTGATTGCTCGTTCCCTGCTTCACGCACCCCCCCCTTCCCAGGGTTGTGAAACCCTGCCCTGTCAAACACATTTTATACTATGTGTACATTTTAAACGCATTTTATACTAAATTCTGGGAGAGGCAGAAGAGAAGCACCAGGCACCTATGAGCCTCAGGGGTTATAAACGCTGGCAACACATTTCAGACTCCTGTGAGACCTGTGTCTGGCCTGGGGGGAAGGAAAGAGGGGGGTGGAAATTATTTCACAGGACACGTCACCATCCCTTTTGGCCCAGGCGTGACTTGAGCTCACCTGGAGAACAGAGGGGTCCCACAAATGAGTTCCCGGAGTGCCTCTTGGCATGCTGACTTCACAACTGGGGTTTTCAGCCAGATGCAACACCAACAGGACACCACATCTGCCCCAAGCCCCTCCCAGAGACCCTCCCCAAAGCATCTGGGGGTGGTGGGCCATCCATAGCACTCCCTCCCTACTCCAGCATCCTGTTTCCCCCCCCAGCAGCCTGCCAGGTGCCCTTTTAAGGATGGGCGGAGAAGCCAGATTTCCCCAGGGACTGGTTCTCAGAGCTCTGCTGCCCCAGAAGGTGGAGGCTCCCTTCATTCAACAGGCTGAAGAGCTTTGTCTGCCTTTTCCCTTTTGAGCCACCTTCAGTTCCTCTTACGGAAGGAAGCTGAGATGTGATTATTTTAATACATGGGAGGAATTGCCCTCTGTGAGTCTGTCTAATCTCCTTTGAGAGGCATCACAGTTAGTGGACACTGAGTGCTGCAAATTAACTCTGCGTTCTGTGAAGAAGTATTTAATTTCTTTCCTGACCTGAACTCTCTACCCACCGAAGTCACTGGGTGTCCCAATCGTATCCAGGCACAAAGATTCCTTACCACAGGAGAGGGCATCTGGGGCACGCTCCACAGCCTGTGCCCCTCTCCCTTGCTCCAAGGAAGCTCCTTCTGCCTGAAGGAACGTAGCTCCTTTCCTCACGGATGGTGCCCACACCTGAAACAGCAACAAGGGAGAGGGCCAAGAGATGGAATGGAAAAGATGTCAAGGAATGGATCCTGCCCCACTCCCAGATGCTGCACCCTTCCATCAGGAGATGGAAATTATCTCGTAGAAGAGGCTGCTGAAGGAAGCCGTCAAATCTCCCATTTGGATGATTAACGCCTGGAGACATATCTCTCTGGGACACTTTAGGATAAGGCCAGATATCCTTGGTTGAATTGGGCATATCTCTGGAGGGAACCTCCCTCACCTGTCCTGCCTGCCTCTTCTCCT